TTTCATTCAATTTCAAATTGTTTTTCGAACACATTTTTGAGTATGACACTTTGTATACTGGAATACGGCAGATCCTACGATTTGCTGTACTTGTTTTTTTTTTTCTCTTTCCGATAGATGTTTTTTCTAAGTTTAGGAAATGAAACAAGGCAAAGATTGAAAGATCTGGTAAATTTTGTTGGTGTGACAAAACATCAACTTCCTGTTTATCCCCAAAACTTCTTTTACTCTTCATGGCCTGTAGGTTTGGACGCCGTCATGAAGACAATTAATGAGAATTCCTCATTCTGTATCCTTTCTCTCACAAACCTTTCTTTATTTTGCAAAAAAAAATTGTTTTCTAGACTCCTCCATAAATTGAACTTCCTCCCAGAATATGTATTTGAGCAACAAGACCGCAAAAAAATAAGAAAATAGCATATAAAACTGTTTTATTCTCATGCAATTCTTTCCTCTTCTTAGGCCTTTGTAGTTTTGCCAAGTGCATCTTATTGTAAATTTGTTTCATGGGCTTAAAGCAAAATGGATTCAAGTTTCATCATATATTAGAATTTCTTACAAACGTGGATAAGTACAATTTTCGATTTTTAAAAAAATAATTGTTTGGATATTCCTACACGCTGTCGTTTTCACTCATTTTTTAAAATATAGGGTGACCTTTGAGTATTATACTTTTTTTTTACTATAAAATGTTTCTTTAAATTAGTTTGAACTATCCCCAAAATGATTTTTATCAATTTTGCTATGTGTCTTAAAGTCAACAAAACATAATCAGTGATAATTTGTTAAAATTTTGCAAATTTACATCCCTATTGCACCTTATGTTGTTGGTTTTTAAAATACATGTCAAAAGGTCAAGATCTTTCAAAATTGTTGGTGCCCAAAGGAATCCACAAGTAATACATTTTTGAAATACGAAATCCCTTTTTCTTACAGTTTTTAAAAAGGGGTCAATAAACTCTTAGTCAATTTAAAAAAAATCTGAAGGTTTATACCCACTAAAAAGTCACACTGAATAAACATAAGTAGTATATGAAAGTCCTAGCACTCAAGTTCAAAAGTTATGGTCAAGGTTCAAGTATTGAATTTTGTTTGTAAACGAGGGACAAACACAAAGGTTCAGGTCAAGAGAACATATTTTGTAATACCCAAAGAAAAGTGTTGTTAGAAGGAATACGTTCGTAAATTATGAAACAGAGACCAAAATTATACATGTACATGCGTAAGAATCCCTTTTAAATAATACTTTCATATGAAATTACAATTTCGACATTTTATTCTGGAAATGGTAGCCAATACCTTGCGCATGTATCCCGCTCTACAAGACCTACTTGAATGAGAGAATGAAAGAACATTCAGACTGTATCCATAAAATGCTTCGCACCAATATGTTTCTTTCCGCATCAGATCTTCGCTCCATTCTTTAAAAAGAATTGTCCAATGACTCTTCCTGATTACCGATTAGCAGAAACCGCCCTCCCCCAAAAAATGTACATGACAAAGGGTTACTAAGTATCACGCAAAGGAATTAACAATCACCGTCCAATTAAATCGTAGACGGAAGAGTCATTGTGCTTGAATGGATAAGCTTTCTGTGTGGTAGTACAAATTAAAGTTTATGGTAACCTTGCATATGCTTTGTGTCTTAAATTTGACGCTGCCAGAACACTCAGCTTTAAAAATTTCAACCAATAAAAGGAGGTGCTGCTTTTCGCCGATAGGAATGTTTGATTCAAATAAAGAGCAAACAGAATCACTTTGGTGCGATGCATCCTAAATAAACGCAGTTGTTTAACAAGAATATTAAAGAGAAATGTCAATTATTTTGGAAGAGTCAACAACTAATGTAAATACATGAATACTTAAAAAAGTATTGTGCACATCCAAGTTGCAATGTACATGTATTAGTACTCATAACATTGACTTATTATGGGAAAAATAACATTGAATATTCTCTTTTAAGTTGTAAACAAGTCTCCGGAAGAAACAAGACTTGAAGGTAAGCTAGTTGTAATTTTAATAGTTTACTTTTTCTATGTATTATATATATGCTGAATTATGTATGATTGGTACCATTTTAGGATTATATTCTTTATGTGACTTCAGATAATAATTAAAACCCAAAAAGTATGAAATTTCATAAATACGTAATATCATTTCATAGTTGTTCCGTACGTGCCGTACATGTGTTAGAATCAACGATTTTATTAGACAGATATATTTTGCCATGCAATTGTATTCACAAAGTAACAAACATGTATGATTTCCTTGAAATATTTCGTCTCATAATTGTAACTAGCTGCAGATCTGTACTCTCCGAAAAAATATATTGATAGACCGGAGAGCTACAGTGCCACCCATTGAAAAAACTGTATATTTATTGCGCACAAAAAAGTGCGCTCAATTCTCGATTTATTTCTCCATGTTTTTAAAACTGTAATCTCAAAATACTACTAACCGTATGTTCCTTACATATTCTTTCACTGTTTCCACAACCAAATATTCCTCATTATTGGTATTAATAGTCCTCTTGATCCTGATATTGTAATCATCGAAAATTTCCCTTATTTATCCTGCCATTTTGTTTCAAAGATAATATATTCGGTCCAATATGCTTCGTTCAGATGTCAACTATGATAGTACTTGATAGAGGAGGAAAGAAATTTTTTTAAATCTTCCCTGTTTTGCAACCGAGGTAAGAATTTGAAAGAATTAATTAAGAACAGAGCGGTCATTTTTGTGCGCAATAAATAAACAGTTTTATCAATGGGTGGCACTGTAGCTCTCCGGTCTATCAATATATTTTTTTTCGGAGAGCTACAGATCTGCAGATAAATTGTAACGACATGTACAAACAAATTGAGTAACGCGTGATAAAAACTTAACATTTATTTAGGTATCTGATGTGATTTATATTTCAAAATAAATGCATTATCTTTCGTGCAAGCTACTGTAAATGAAAGAGTCAAAGTACTAACTTCTGTTGAGTGAGAGTGATTCTTATCTTCGTTTATGACCACTGGTGGATTTAGAGAGGGGCAGGACCCCCTCTAATAACATAAGTTTTGAGGAGCACCTTTGGCCCTTCATCGAGCCAAAACTAATGGACCTCCCAACTTTCCAAGATTCCTGTATCCGTCACCGAGAACGTTGCACTTCCTCGGCCTTCGACGTTTGTGACTTTTAAATAACAAAAATCTGCATGCTTAAACCATTTGACCCATTTTCATGCTATTAAAGCATTGAATCATAATTTAGATATAGTCTCATAACTGCAACGGTGTGTTCAAACAAATCTAATAATGCGCGTTATGTCGATATTGTGTTTTGAATGTCATTGTTTTCCAGACACTTTATATGAAAAAATAACCCACAACAACAACAACAAATTAATAGTTGTTATACCCAGAATACTGTAAACGTATTACATTTGCATGTATATTCTTAGTAGCGCTTTTAATGAGAAAATTTAGAATTGCGCTAAATCAAAACTATGCTAACTCGTTCAAAAATCCATTTCCGCCAAATATTGTACACGCTAAATATAATACATTTTCAGTAATCGCACAATGAAATTTTTAGTGTATAGAATGTCTGAATTATAAACTAGATTGCTACCTTATTATCTGGCTTCTCAAATCATAAGCTACTTTTTCTAAAACAAATTTCTTCACAAACTTTCTCTCTCTCCATGAATTTGTACTTTCTTTTAATTTAAGCATAAACACCAGTTTTATAATAAAATCCAGTTATGGTATCCCAAAATAATTAAGTTAATATAAGAATAATGCTATGTTGCAACCACTATTGAACTAACGACCACTAATGAAATAATTCTTTCAATAGTGGTTGAGGGTGCATTTCAATAACAAACATAGGTTGCAACCACTACTGAAATACGACCACTATTGAAATGGTATTTTAATATTCGTTGAGAGTTTATTTCAAAACCAAACACTTAACCACTATTGAATGACAACCAATCAATACAAAACACAAGTTGTAAACACTATGTTATAACGATCACTATTGAAAGAATTAATTTGATAGTGTAAGTGCATTTCAAAACACAAGTTGTAACCACGTTCACAATTAAATGAATTTAGGTAGGTCAGTTTATTAAAAAAATAATTTCTTCAAAAATGAAAACACAGAGCAACTTAAACTATCATACGTGCATTTAAATCAATAAATTAGTTTATTGTGTCAGAGAACAGAATGTGTCAACAAGCCTTACACTTGTTTAAATAGTTGTGGTAGTTCTATAAACTTGCAATGTGATTTTGGTAAGGAAATCATTGTCAGCATATATGAAAATAATTGTTTTAATATCTGTTTGAATCGTTGTTTAAAAAATCTATTTAATCACTATTGAAATCTTTATTTCAAAAGTGAACATTATCTCATTAGTGGTTGGAACCTATGTTTGTTATTGAAATGCAATCTGAACCACTATCAAATAATTATTTCAAAATTCGTCGTATTTAATTAGTGGTTATTACCTGAGTTTGGTATAGAAATGCACTATAAAAATAATTATTCAATAGTTGTTGCAACCTACGTTTGTTTATAAAAAAGAATCTCAACCACTATTGTTATAATTATTTCAATAGTGGTTGTATTTCAATTGTGGTAGCAACCTACGTTTGTCATTGAAAAGAAATCTCAACCAAGTACTATTGAATTGATTATTTCAATAGTGGTTGTAACAGTGCAATATTGGTAATTATTAGGCAAGATAAAGAAGATTGCTTAGAACTTTTTTTTCTTTTTTAGCTCTTCGACAGGTAAAGTGGAGGAAATTCAATGGTAAATAATTTTAAACATACTAATATGCACTCTCGATGTCATCGCGCAAATTTTAAAATAGGCAAGCTGATCTGTTATGCTTAAAAAAAAGAAATAAGCGCGAAAAACTTTAAAAAATAAACAATTTATCTTGTATATTTCTCTATGTTTGTTTTATCTAAAATTATATTTCACTTTCTTTTAAGTTAAAGCTCTTACACAACCACAGATTTGTGAACAACTCTTTGAGGAATTTAAGGTGAAATACTTACCAAATGCAGAACTACTGTGGCAAAATGACCAGATGGATCAATACCCAAATGTTTTTCTTTGTTATCATGACTCTCGAGTACAAGAAGACATACTGAAACCCTTGCAGGAAAGCGATAGATCAGGTATACCATGTTTAGTGTTGTCAACACATGTCCTTCATTTAAAACAGTCGGCGACAAGGTTTACTCACAACACCAAAGTAATACCACCATACTAACGAGAAAAGAAATACAAATCTGCAGTTGGGTAGAATGAATCGTTTTTGATAATTTTCATGCCTAAATATGCTATACTTCAATAAATTTAGTGCTGATAACGAGTTTGCGATTAACAAGTCAATTGTCGAACGATGCAATTATTTGTTAGTAAAACTACAATTCGGTTACTTGGATAACGTGACAAAAACAATTCTTTTGAATTTACTCAACATTTATCATTTGAGCCCTTTATTATTTTTTTAATATTCAGCAGAGGTACTCAAAAAGAATATCCAGAAACATTGACGATGTATGTCTGAAAGTTTGTATGTTACATGACTGTACCTATTTTGAATGTGTAATGTTGAAGTAACAACGAAACGTGTATTATTCACTCATTTATGTACAATTCACGCCTCTCGAGATTTTAGCTCCCGTGAGCTGAAAGCTTGATTGATTTTCTGATCACATTTATCCTGTAGATCATCTGTTCATCTAGCCGTCTTTCTGTCCTTCTGTCTGTTATCCTAATCTACCACAGGGTAAGTGGGGTGAAACGAAGACGTTCCTTGATTTGTGATTTCATTGTGGAAGAATTTCCATGTAGTATAGATTAAATTTTATTTAAATCATGTCCCATGGGTCAGGAAGTTGCTACTATTGGGGATGCATGGTTTCTTTTTACAAAGGAATAAAAAGGAAATATCCTCTACTCAAGAACAGCTATGATTAATCATATTTATATGAATGCATCCTCAGTAAGTGTAGAATTGGGTTTGTTTAAATCATGATCCCAGGATTTTATTCGACCAAACACTTAAAATTTCCGATTTATCAAAAAGCCTCTTCTATTATTATGAAATGAAGGATGAATGTTTGTTATTATTTTGTTTAAAACAAATTTTTTTCATAGGAAAACCAATTTTAGTTGTTGGTATCCAACCGTGTGAGAAAACCATAAATCCAAGTCGCTTATTGAAAAATAACATTCTGTGCAAGGAACAGGAAAATACCTATTTTACTGATATTATATTCTCTGATAGCAGTGAAGATTGTTATTTATGTAAAACAAACTTGACAGCGGCAGAAGATATCAATGAATTTTGCAAACCTTTCGATTCACCAGAAGTGGATAGACCCTCAATCTGTATTAATGCAACTGCTAGGGGACAACAACAGGATTTCATGGAACTTCAGGACAGAAGTGGCAGGAATCTGCTTTACAGAGAAGAAAACAATTCTTCATCGTTGCAATCAATTAAGATCAACAATGTTACACAAGGACACGAAAACTCAGAGGCAAGAAAATAAATGTTTAGATTTTTAAATGAATGCAGTCCTCAGTGACTATGTCGATAAAAATGGTACATATCATTTCAAGTCGTAACCTGGGCTTCCACATTTTATTCATTTTTATTAAATATTTATGTTCAGTGTAACAGAGTTATGCATTGTTGAGGGTTGTTTGACAAATATTTATTAAAAATTAATCTTATATTCGATCAAATAAACCAAGAACCTTTTTGACCGTTTTGTGTATAAAGGGCTATTTGAAAAGTTCGTCAGATGTGTCTTTTTAAGGTTCTGTTTCCTTGTGACAGTAATCTACATAACTCAAATTTGTCGAAACTATTGACACTCTTCAAAAGGATCATATCTAGTCACTCTAAACTATCAAAACTATCAAAATTGTTGTAAAATGAAAATAAATCCTCACAGAAAGTAGTTTTGAAACATCATCCTTTGCTAGCAACGTCCACATAATTGACAAATCAAATGCCAAAGAATTGAAATACCTTTAATAACTCAACTTCACATAACATTAGCATTACTTGTCTCTATTTAAATATTGATCGTAATCATAGAATACCATAAAAATTTAAAGTAAAAATTTAAAGCCTTGAATATTTTTTTATATCAAGCGGGTAATTGATAAGTTTCAAAAGATCTAAAAGTTGGCTGGCATCTAGTTGAGATAAGCTTAGTTCTCCTTGATTTCTATTTATGTTTTTTACCTTGACAATATAAGAATATCATAGAGACAAAAAAGGAAATGTTTTAGAATTGAAATCTTATTATAGAATGCCATCGCACTTGACGTGCAACAAATTGAATATCGCACGGCAGAGAAGTATGATAATTTGTCGACAAAGACAAGGCCTGTTATTCCGTCGAACACATTTAAAAGTGGGTAGGGTTCACTTGAACAAAATAACTCAATATTCATCAAAATTTTAGCTGAAGATTGTATTAAAAAATTGGCAGAACTTGACACTTTAATAAAATACGATTTATCAACCATACAACAGTCTTTGAGATTTGAAATACTACAGAAATATTCCAATGGTATTTATACATATTTGATACATCTGCAGATTCTAAGCCGGGTGATTGCCATTAACGCACACTGCATGAGGTACAAATCAACATGCTCGCTACGCGCCTTACAATAAACTGTTTACTCGATACACGATTCACGAAGCGGTTGTCATTTATATGATATATAGTATGAATTGACGAAAATTCATATCAGGCAAGTTTTAAGAGTCCGACAGTTTAGTGAGTTTTTTTGTTTCAGGAAAATACAGCTTATAGACTCATGTTAAAAACAAACATTAAACCTTTTCGATTTCATTAGACTTTAACCCTTTCCAACAAAGGTTAATCGAATTTATTCTTTTGTTTGTCAATGCATGTTAATTGTTACTCGTTTTGTTACATTAATTTATTTCATTAGGCAGTTATAGAAGTGGATAAACTATGAGGGACCTCTAAGTTTCATAATACTCAGAACTTTTTACTGTGTTCTGGAGCAAAGTTTGAAAGAGAGGTAAATTGCTTCTTGTAAAAAAAAAATTACGTATAAATAAAAATTCATCCCCTAATAAGCAGTGCACCTAGGTTTTCTAAGGTTAAATTCTCTTATAACTGCTGTATACATAATTACAAATGCTGTATGCATAATGAAATACGAGTCACACCATTTTGCGAAATATGTTCTACTATAATAACGCGAAGCGCATTTGTTTAATTGTCACTTTAAATTCTTACGCGTTTCTCAAACGATTCTTAAACGAAAATCGAAAGTTTCTCTTCTTCAAACTCCTCGAAACTCTCTTAAACGTATGAGGCTTACACAAAAAACGTTTTGAGGCCTTCTACGAAACGCTGCACTGATTGCACGAAATGTGGAATATTTACACAAAACCCTCCATGAAAAGCACGAATTTAAAACCGCGCAAAAGTCAAATGTTTTTGGGTAGTTTCAAGTTTCAGGATGTGTTAAATGACGTAAGCTTACTAGAATAGTAGAAAAGAAATATATCAACTTTTTTAAATACCTTCATTTATTTTTCAGGACAAGCGTCCGATGAATGGAGACTTCTTTGAAACAGATCTAAGCTTTTGGGACATAAAATCATAGATAATCAATAAAATCAGAATTTAAGTCTGAGCAGAAACACTTTATTCACCGTTTGTATATACTCATAATACAGATTCAAGAATTTTTTTTATTAAACTAGCAATCTTCCCAAACAGATAGTACAGTCTTGAAATTAAAGTTTTCTGAGGTCACAAGCTGACGAACTTCTTTTCTACGAAACCTCTGTTAAAAGTATTTAAAAGAATTTTGAAAGATTATCAAAATTAGTGTTTATACCTCTTGAAACAACTACAATTATCACTATTAATTATTTTGAAAAAAGGGAATCTCAAATAAAGTTAATTAATGTTAATGTTTTATTTTCAACCTATTATAGAAGATATCTCCTGTCATAAACTTCTAACTTTATACAGAGTTTTAAATATTGTTTAAAAAGAAAATTAATGTCCATATTTGGTTTATTTGGCACTGGAATAAAGGCTGTAGTTTTTGATATTGCATATCCTATTTTTTTCTTTTTGAGGCACCATTTCTTACAGAAGCGTCAGAGGTTGAATCAGGTACCATGGAGGAATGAGCATCCCCTGCCGACCGGTCACACCCGCCATGTGCTCCGTGTCATGATCGGGAAATGGCGGAAAAACCTTTGTCAATTCAGTGTATAAATAATGAACTAACAATAAGTATGAAGATCGTCAGTCAGCATTTGACTCAATGATAAATTGTATTTGCTGACAAGGTCATTGTATCGACCAAAGAACTTACGAAATGATGACATTAAACGAGATTGCTGATATTCTTGTTTCATCAACTTGTTTGTTTGTCAATAATTTACCTCCTTAGGTATCCGATGCATGGTGAATTCACCCTACTGTAAAATCACATATTTTTGTGGGGTCAAATTAATGAATTCGTCTGTCTTTTCATACCTCGAGAACAACGAAAATTAAACCCCCAAGAAAAATGGTGATTTCACAGTACTTATGAGTACAAACAGAATGCCTATATATATATATATATATATATATATATATATATATATATATATATATATATATATATATATATATATATATATATATATATATATATATATATATATATATAAAAAGCACTAAAAAACCAACAACACTGTATATCCTAAATGTCGGATCTACCAAGTAGATACAAGGTCACGGATGGAAATTTATATAAAGCACTAAAAATGACCAACGACACGAACAATAGAAATTGTCAAATTTTCGGGACGCCCTGTCCCTTCCTCAGGACAAAGAAAAAAGTTAAAAAGTCATAAGAACAAAGGAAAAAGAGAAACAAAAACAACTAGCACTACTACTAAACTACTAAACACTAGATATTTACATACTTAATTACATGATGAATTGGAAATTTTTTAAAAACACTAATAAAGAAAGAAATCCGGACGGCTAATGAAATGCGTCCGGTCTATCGGGTATACTCGGGCGAAGTGCGATTTACATAATTGAACGAATTAATTATGCTAATTAATTACGACAATCAGTAAATCGTACATCGTTTCATTCTCTCAAAATGGCGTAACTTTACTTAATAAAGAATAATCGAAGAAAAATAATATAGCAGGGATATTTAAACACATGAATTATGATCAATTATAAATTTTGAAATATTTAAGGACTTATTACCGGGAAAAAAATAATTAACAAAGGTGTAAGCAATACATAGTTATGAGAGTTGTTCGAGAGTTGGTGACGCAAATTAACTGTAGAGTTTACACTAAATTGAGAGAATAATCTTGTTTAGTATCATCAGGAATTGGGTCTAGTTTACGTTCATTCTGGTGAAGTCATTCAGTTTGTTAATACCATTAGGGCGGAATGACTTCAATCTATGCATCCAGAACTTTTCTTTGCTTTTTCTCTGAGCATCTGTCCATCTTGGGTTATGGTCAATCACCACTACTGTCATGTCCTCCCATTTGTGACCCTCAAGGTTGAAATGTTCCCCAACGGGTTCATTGAGTTTTTTGGTCCTAATGGTCGAACGGTGGTTATTGACTCTCCTGCGGAGATCTCCTGTTTCACCAATATACTGTTTGGAGCAAACTTTGCAACTGATGAGATAAATGCAGTTGTCAGTATGACAGGACAAATTCCCTAGTATTTTGTAGCTGCGGCCTGTAACAGGGCTGTTAAAACTGTCTGTGTCAGTGCTGTGCTTACAAAGAAGACATCTTCTGTCAGAGCAAGTTTTAAAGCCCCCGTTAGGTAATGGGTTGTCCAGTCTGGTTCTTACTACCATGTCCTTTAGATTCCTTGGGCGTCTGTATGCAGCCAATGGGGGTTCCTTAAAGACCTCTGCCATTCGTTTGTTTGAATGGAGAATTGGTAGGTTCTTTTGAAGGATACCGCTAAGGTTCTTAAGGACGGGATGGTATGTGGTTACCAGAGGGACCCTGCCGCTGTTGTCTTTCTCCTTGTAGCGTAATAGGTTTTGCCTGTCATGTCCCGCCATCTCATCAATAGCTGTTTGTACGGTGCGGGCATTGTAGCCTCTTTTGCATAAGTGGGACTTAAGAAGACCACTTTGCTCCTGATATAAGGCAGGGGACGAACAGATGCGTCGAAATCTGGTGGCTAGACCCTTAGGCACTCCTTTAAAAGTGTGTGGGGGATGACAGCTAGAGGGCATAAGATATAGGTGGGAGTCTGTGGGTTTGGTGTGGAGACTGAATTCGATTTCACCATCAATCAGGGTAGATGTAGTATCTAGGAATACGTTTTTCGAATTAGATACGTCTACTGTAAATTTGATCGATTGATGAAAGGTGTTGGCAAACGTAATGAATGCCTCGAGGCTCTCGCGACATTCCACCCACTTCATCTCTATATCGTCTATGAAACGCAACCAGCTATGGGGCCTAAATGGTGCTTGAAGTAACAAGTTGCGTTCCAGTCTGCCCATGAAGACATTGGCATAAGACGGTGCCATTTT